TGGAAGACTCTAGAAGGCCAATGCAGGCGCTGGTAGCTTCACAGAAGGAGAAAGGAAGGAAGGATGAATCATGATGTGGAAAACTCTGTCCTTTCTTTTCAAAGGGGGTCCGGAGATGGGGAACGGAGGACAGTGGGGAGGGTGGGCAGCAGCAGTACCCCTAGACTCTTCAACCCTCCTGGCCAGGTTTATACTTTCATTTTACCCAAGCCTTCTTCCTCTTATCCATTTTCACCTTGTTACATCCAGGAAATCCTGGCTCCCTCTGGAAGACACAGCATCCCAGGGTACCCATGCAGTCCTGAGGATGCCTTAATGCATCATCCTGATGACGCCGGGCCAGAGGGAGGCAAGGCAGAGCCTCCTTCTGCTGCTGGCACTCAGCAGCTTCTCCAACCTGAGGCGCCCTCTGCCTGCCTACATGATGTGGTCCAGCCACCCCTGGTGGCTCAGTCTTCTCTATCCCCATCCTGCCCCTCATGCATTGGGATCTTCAATGTACCTGCTGATATTCACCTTCAGTATACTGCCCACCCATTTCATCAACCTCCTCACCTTTATGACCGTCCTCTGTGTCAACTTCCCATTCCCAAAACCACCATTAAGCCCAGTGCTGGGCTCAACATGGCTGTCACCACTGCCCGTTCCCAAGACCACCATCAACCCCAGCTCAACATGGGCTCAACATAGCTGTCACCACTGCCCGTTCCCAATACCAGAATCAACCCTAGCTCAACACAGCTGTCACCACTACCCGTTCCCAAGATCACCATCAACCCCAGCTCAACATGGGCTCAACATGGCTGTCACCACTGCCCATTCCCAATACCAAAATCAACCCCAGCTCAACATGGGCTCAACATGGCTGTCACCACTGCCCGTTCCCAAGACCACCATCAACCCTAGCTCAACATGGCTGCCACCACTGCCCATTCCCAAGACCAAAATCAACCCTAGCTCAACATAGCTGTCACCACTACCCATTCCCAAGACCACCATCAACCCCAGCTCAACATGGGCTCAACATGGCTGTCACCACTGCCCATTCCCAAGACCACCATTAATCCCAGCTCAACATGGGCTCAACATGGACGTCACCACTGCCCATTCTCTGCTCCCCTCCAGCCCAAATCTGCTGCCTCTATGACTGTGAACCCTGAAATTTCCCTCTCTAATCACAGCCTCTCTCCCTCTGCCTTACTCTTCCCAAACCTACTCACCCCCATTGGAAGCTCCTGTCATTATACACCTCCCTGTTCTCCTGGTAGCAAGCAGCAGATATCTCTGGCCTCCCTCCACCATCCTGACCCTATGGAGGACCAGTTTAACTACACATTCTCTTCCACCCTTGAATCCCTGCCTCCTGTCTTAGGGCTACTCAGGTGTGGCCAGAACCCAATTCCGGGGCAGGCCCGTCGTCTGTCTTCATCTCTCCTGCTTCTGGGTTACTGGATTGATAGAAGAAGCCAGAGGATTGGGTTGCCTGGGTTTCCTACAAGCTTGGTCCCCAAGCTCAAGTGGGCCTTCCTTACTGCTCCACAGAAATCTTTTTATCCTGTCAGAGCTGCTTCATTATCCTGTCCTTGAAGGAATTTTTCTAACCCTGCCTGGCCACCTTCAAGCCCTGAAATGGCAGCTACTCTCTCAGCAGAGCTCCTCCTCATGGGCCAAAGCAAAACAACCGAGGCCACTTCTTTTGTCTCCCGGACTCCACCCCCCCCACCCCCCCACAATGTTCCTTTCTATCCTTTCTGGTATATGATGAAAATGTGGCTCCTCTCCCTGGAGAAGCCAACCCACTATACCTGTGCCCAGGTGTCTCTATCAGCTCAGGCTCAGGTTTGTGTCCCCCCTCCTGCCCCTACCACTCTACATATATACACGAATGCACATATAATACACATGTGCACACACATACACACGCAGCACACAAAAACACCTACACATATGCATGCACACACAATCTATGCATAATATAAACATCTATTGACATGGACACACATGTAAGAACAGGGGCGTAGATTCAGTTTCGCCTAGAAGCCTCATTTCCTGTTCTTTTTTGTACACTGACATGCATGTTTGTTGACCCTGTTAGGCCCCTCGGGCACAGTCAGCATCGAAGGCCCACCCCAAGCTGCCTCCAAACCCCTATTCTGCCCTTAGTCTGCTGTCTTGCCATCACATACTCCTTCAGTTAGCTGACAGATACAAATGGCGGAAGGGGAGGGGACAGCCGTACGTACAGGAGAGGAAGTGACAGCTGAGCACAGAGATAATCCCAGGGGAGTAGAAAGAAGAACCATGACAAAACCCCCCGAGGTCTGAGGGGGCTCTGGGAGAGTGCCTGAGTCCAGGCAAAGCTTTGATGGCCATTACTCAGGTATGCTGCAGAGGGCCCTTCTAATTGGGAGAGGCTCAATAGCCCCCGAGTATCGTCACCTCCCCCCCCCCCCCCCCCCCCGGCACTACTGCAGGTGTGAAAAGGAACATTTAAAAGGATGGAACCATTCAGGAAGCTCTCCTTAACTGGTCACTAAGGCAGACAAGTATGTCATACAGTTTAGAAAGATTTTCATCAGCTGTAGGAAAACTGACAAAAGCCTTAGACCAGAAGAGTCCATCACACCACCCCTCCTGCCTCCAGGGAAGAGCAGAGGGGCCAGAGGGGCCACTCCGTCTGGCGCCTTTGTAAAGCACTTGGCACGGTAGTGCCTGGCCATAGTAGGAGCTTAATAAATGCTTCTTCCCCTTTCTCTTTGAGGCAAGGGGACAAATGCCATTCACCTGTGGCAGGTCTCCTGTCTGGTGTCCCAAACGAGCGCTCCACACTTGAAATGACTCCACCCTCCATCTGGCCATCGCTCGCCCATGTTCATAAACTCTGAAATTCCTCCTCACCTTCAGTTCTTGCACCTCCAAGCTCTGCGCTCGGTCCTCACCTGGACCTGCAATCCCTGGACCCCTGGTTCTCTCCCAGACCATCACCCCTGCACTGGCTCTGCTTCTTCCCTCCCCAGCCCGACCCTTTGGCAGGTCAGTTCATGCCTGCATCCCCTGCTCCTTTACCCTAATGAAGACCTTGCCCTGGTACATCCCAACCCTGAATGACACCTGCCTTCCACTCCCACGTCCACCCGGCTGACTGAAGCTGGGGAACGCCATGAAACCACGGGCACTGCGTTCACCACAAGTCTGTTACACACTCTCCACTGGGCCCTCACTACAGCAAGGCAATCCTTTCATGCGACCCTACCATTCACTATCCTACCTGCTACAACAGCTTTTCCCAAGCCTCTGCATCTTTCCTTGAATGCCCTGCAGCCCCCTCTACCCTTACCCTCTCAGCTAGAACCTTGTTTCACTGCACTCACAGAAGGCTCCCTCTTCTCTCCTGTTCCTCATCTCATGTTACCCAGATGCCGTCCTTACCTGTGTTTCTCATGAAATTCACCTGCCTCTTCTTCTGACTAAGGCAAACCCTCTCCATGCACAAGTGAGCCCACTCCATCTTACCTTCTCCAGTGGAATGCCCCCCGCCAACCCCCACAAATCTCTCATCTCTGTCTACTGGCTGCTTGCCTACAGCTGATGAACATGTCCACGTCTCCCCAACCTCAAAAAGCCTCTTCCTGGGTCCGTCCATCCCCACCAGCCCTCATCTAACACTCCCCACCCCCCTGCAGCTCAACTCCTTCAGAAGGTTGTCTCCCATTGATGCCTAAACTTCCTTTCCTCTTGCTTCCAACCTCATCATTCAACAGAAAGTGCTCCATTCAAAGTATCCAACAGTCCTCAGACTGCCCAATCTAACGGCCTTTTCTCAATCCCCTTCCCTTCCGACCTCTCTGCAGCCCATGGCACTTTTTGCACCCACCCCTCTCTAGGTGTTCAGGACACTTCTCTCTCCTGTTCTCCCTGCACCTCTCTGATCGGTCCTTCTCAGTCTCCTTTGCTGGATCTTCGTCCAGGTGACGGACCAACTGTGGAGACACCCCAAGGCTTTGTCGTGGCCATGTCCCTCCACACTATTTGACTCACCAGCTCCCATGGATTTAATTATCATCTGTCTTGATGATTCTCAGATCTATTTGTCCAGCCCCAACCATTCTCCCAGCCTCCAGACTGGCTATTCCAACTGCCTATTGAACACTGAGAACTGGCTGTCATAGAGTTATTTTTCTTCAGATTTACATTCTCTTCCTCTCACCTTCCCGTCCCACAGAGAAAGCAAGAAAAACAAAACTCATTATAAACATGCAGCTGAGCAAAACTAATTCCTGCACTGCCACACCCACACCCCCCCTCCCTCCCACCATGCTTCAGTCTGCACTCTGAGTCTATCACCTCTGTCTAGAGCGGGGCAGCAAGTTTCATCATGAGCTCTCTGGAATTGTGGCTGGCGATGCATCATGTGAATCAGAGTTCCTAAGGCTTTCAGAGCTGTCTGTCTTCATGATACTGTCACCCGTTTTAAATTGTTCCCCTGGTTCTGCTCACTTTGGTCTGCATCAGTTCACGTAAATCTTCCAGTAGTTTCTCTGAAACCCTCCCCTCCATCATTTCTCATAGTAAAACATCCAATCCAATAAACACGTGTCCAACACTGAACCCAATATCCTCTCCCCAAACTCTCCCCTTTTCCTAATTTCCCTTTTACTTCTGAAGTCATCACCACCATCATCACCACCCATTACCCAGGCTAGATCACTAACACGTTAAAATGGAGTGAAAACCACAGCAAACCAAATTCATCATCCAGAGGAGGGCTAGCTATTAAATAAGAGCAGAAAAAAAGGAAACACATTCAGGAAATGTGGAAGCCTAAGTTTTGCAGACTTTGAGACGACACTTTCCTGGTCTTGGGTATCACACCCTGCTGTTCCCAAGGCACCGGATGAAGAAAACTGCAGAGCCACAAGGCATCAGGGCGATCAGCACCTAACAAAATGCCCTTCACTTCACAATGTTTCACTCGTCAGAGACAATGGGCAGAATCCTACCTATTTCAACGTAACGGTTTGGTAAGTCTCGTATTTCACTGGCATGCCGTTCCTTCACCGAGCAGATCTGGAAAAGAAATGTAGAGGCCATTGGAGTCATTGCCATTTGCTGGAGACGTCCCTGACTAAGGAGCCCAAGTAGCCTGGATAGCTCAACACAACTCGGCGGCAATGGTAGCACAGCATCGCCAATCTGATTTAAGAGGCAGCTTCAAAGGAAAGCAGGCAAATGACACGGGGACAGAAATAAGAAAAGTCCCTCTCGCCAATTATTCATCCAAAGGTCTATTCATCACAGTCAGAGAGAGCAGATGACTTATCCTATTATCTTGTGTGACTTCTGATGACTACCATTCCTGGAATACTGGTCCATTCCAGGGCCTCCTTTTGCAACAGCCTGGTCAAGCCTGGCAGAGGCTTCCATGCGAAATCCCCACTAGGTCAGTCTGGGGAGGGTTCAAAGCAGAACTGGTGACTCACATATTGTGAATGTAATTGTTCTGCAAAACTGGATTACCCAAAGAAAGTGCGTCTACAGAGAAGTCTTTAGAGTTCTCTAGTAATGAACATTGATAGGGTTTCTCATTCAGTTTTAAACACTGAAACCGTTTTACTACTGAAGACTCCATTTGTGTGGATTAAAGAGAGTTCTGAGTTGTGCTCCCTCACTCACATGAAGACTCTCCCTTGGTCTGCAGGCCTTCATTAACAAGGCTGAGGTTGCTATCCACTTTGTCTGCTACACACAAGGTGTTAGTTATCCTGTAGCAGTCAGGGCTCTGATACCAACCACGCTCAAGCCCAGACAGACGGGGCACATTTACAGGAGAAGTTGTCACAGGAAGAGTTACACTGTGTGGTTATAGAGCAGAGCTGAAACTAGCTAGTCCAGATGGGGTCTGAGCCCCTGACCTCAACCCTTGTGAATGTCAGGCCTTGACCAGCTGAGCTAAGCAGACCTGGGCAGGCCCCACCCAGAAGGACCAATCCCCATCTCCTCCCTGCCTCCACGGCTTTCATCAGAGCCTTTCTCTCCTTCCCTGCTCTCCCTGTGTGAATACCTCTCCATCTATAGCTCACTCCAACTGAAGAGTCTCAGGAACTCAGAGCTCTTAATTCAATGATGATAACAACCAGGCAGAGTACAAGGTGTGGAAGTGGACTGGGCAAACAGCTCTGGATGCCAGTACCTATGGGCAAGCAACCATTCTGAATATTGGAAGAATGACAGGAAAAAAAGAAGAAAGGGAGAAATGGAAAGTCCTTCAGGGCAATCAGGAGACCTGGATTCGAAGCCCGTCTCTGACGGTACCTGCGTGCTCATGGGCAAAGCACTTCCCCTCCCCAGCACTCTGCTTCTTCGTCTGTTACATGAGGCGGGTGGGGTGGTCAAGATGGCCTTAGACGCTCCATCTGCCTCTAGACCAAGGGGCCTATTCCCATGAATAGACAACGTTCAAATGTCTTACAGCCATAAGGAGACAATCTCCAAAAATTGACTTTGAAGTTAAAGAATTTGCATTTATGACAATGGAGTCCCTCAAAAGAACTAACATACTGTAAACTGAACAGCCATTTTGGTTAACTTTGCTTTGTTTCTAAAGCCTTAGAAATAAGTACTTCTGCTCACCCCCATCCTACCACCCTCAAAGGAAGGGTTGGCCTGACGGTGGGGGACAGGAGGCCTGGGCCTGCACGTGCCATTAAAGGTCAGTCTCTGTGACCATCAGTGAGCTACTGCCTTTTGCAGGCCTCAGCTTCCTGCCTGTAACATGAAGGGAGGCTTCGATTGCCACCAGGAAAGAGCCTGGCTGGAGAGCCGCGTGGAGCCTGTTACTGGTTTCATCTTCATCTGTGTGTGTGCATGTAGGCCGAGGGCCCATGGAGAAGGTAGCCAGCTTCTCAAGGCCGCATCCTCTCCCTCCCAGCTCCGTGTAGACAGCCATACTCATGCTCCAGTCCCTCTGGAGAGTGGAAGAATGGCACATGGCCAGTCCCCAGTGAGCATCTTCTAGGAACCATAAACCTGCTATCTCTGCAGATGAGTTCTCTCTGTCACCCACCAGAGAGGAAAACAAAAACATACTTTTAAAAAACTATAAGTCCCCTATGGGAAGCAGGACGTGTATATGTGTGTGTGTGTGTGTGTGTGTGTGTGTGTGTGTGTACATGTTCCTGTGTACGTGCGCGCACACACACACACACACACACACACACACACACACACGAGTCTCTGTACCATTCCACACATTCTCCTCTTCTCCTCAGCCCTTTAGCTTCATGCCTCCCTTCACTAACTCACTAACTTTCAAATAATAGCCCCATATCCCAACGATCAGTAAACCAAACACAAGAATCTAACATAAACCCAGCCCCACCCTAGGATGAAGCTCATTAATATTTTAGAATACCCTGGTGCTTCTTGGTAATCATGCCCATTCGAATGTGTTCTGCATTATTCTTCTTTTCCAAAGCAGATGAAACCACACAGCAGCTGCTCCATCCATGGAACATGAGATGTCTTGTTTTCTTGGTAATTAACAGTCCCCTATGGGTTACAGCCCTGGTCAAGGCACTTCACCCTTTGAGGCTTCTGTGAAATGGGGCCTCAGGCTCGAAGATCTCTAAGCTCCCTGGGAGCTCTAAACCTCAATAATTCTGCTCATCCCAAGATCTCCTTCTTACCCACTTTGTCTAAGATGACTTCCAGGTGGGCCAGGGAGCTGACAGATGTGACCTGATGGCCCCATGTGACCCACATGCAAAGGAGAGCTGATCCCTCCAACATTCTCAAACTTCATTTCAGCCACTGGCTTCCACCTTCTACTTCCTCAGACCTTTATCAAAGCTACCAACGATACACGTAGAAAGGGCACCGATGTGATTTTCATCATTTTTAACTGGCCCCAAGAACTCTGGTGAACCAAGAAAGGCAAGGAAGGGAAGCAGCAGTGGAGAGGAGAAAGGGAAAGTACTGTCAGCTTAAGATTTAAAAAAATCTCTTGCCACTGAAAGGTACAGTGAAGCAAACACATCCAGCCGACGCTGCCCCGTGCATGTAGGACACTGAGTCCCGGACAGATTCCTCGAGGCCAGCCAACCACAGTCACGTGGCTGGGGCTGTTCTTTCAGAAGTCACGCGCCCTCCGGCTCCCGCGGGTCCATCTGCCTCCATGGGCCCCTTCCTAGAGGATCCCCAACACCAGGGCAGAGGCGAATTCTGTACCTTGACCGAGGCACCCCAGCCAATGATGAGAGTGACGTGATCCTTCCAGCAGAGGCTACAGGGATACATATCGGGGCGAAGGCTGATGTCATCTCGGGGCACGTTGGTGATTCTCTGCTTGGATACGATGTCAAGAATCTTTACACCCTGGAAAATAAAAAGAGCCACTGTTCAGAACCACCCACCTGCCCAAGGCCCATGACTGCGGAGGACTCCTATAATGCTGCAGTCCCAGAAATAAGGACTGGCTGGCTTACAAGCCCAGGAGCTTGTGGATGGTGTCTAAGCTGTAGGAAGCAGCTAAGTGAACAGGCAGGGGGAGGATGCCACCACGCTGGGATGATTCCCAGAAAAGGACACAAACATGTGTGCTGGACCTGGATTCGGGTTGGGACCATCTACTCTCAGGCCTTCCTGCCTAGGCCTCAGGTCCATCCTGGATTCAGTGAGCCAGCCAAGCTCTTCCAATGTCCCTGTTCATCTGCTCCCATAATGTGGACCCCACTCTCCTCAGACATACCCCACACATGCACTACCCCCATGGCACACTTTTCATTCCAGGACTATTAAAGGCCCCTAATCAGTACTTCCCCCTCCCCATTACTAAAAGCCAGCTCTGGGGATCCAAAGAGAAGATGATGTTTGTGGGTCTGGGCACATCTTCACACAGGATTTTTTTTTCTTTTATCTGATTTTTGTCTTCCCAGGAAAGAAAATTATATCAGTGGGATCACATAGATAAAATGATTCCTGTAACAAATCAAAGTGGGACAAGGGGGACAGGGCAGGGGGAGGAGACATCAGCCTCTGTACTTCTCAGATGAGAGGTGGCCAGATAATGACCCAAACATACTTTTCTCCCAGAAATAGGCAGTTCGCATTCTTAAAAGAAAACAAAATGAACAAAAACCCTTCATCTTACAACAGAGAACAAACAGCAACAGCAGAAAACAGCCTCCATCAGAAGCAGAAAATTGCAAGGAAGCAGGTAAGAAAGAAGCCTGTCAAAGGCTAAAAAGGCTCTTGTCTCTGCATCTGGCCCAGGAGGCAAAGGGCAGCGATGGCCTGGGCTGAGGACTTGGGCTGGTTAGCACCAGCAGGGCTGAAGGCTTCCTGAATGAGTGACCAGGCCTCCACCACAGAAAACAACCAAAATCTGCCTCTGGGCACATTTTACGATAAGTAAATGTGAAAATGTGTAGACAAAATGGCAAACTGACCTTCCATCCCACCACACGTCCCCAGCAGAGGCTCCACAGAAGCACCTGCCACCCTGGTCTGTTTTGGGCCCTGTCCTGGTCTGTGTCCCCGTGGTTGCCCACCTTGGGTTAGTGGGCAAATGTTTATTGCCCAGGCTCCTTGACAAATGCTTGGCTGACATTCCTCAGGTCACCTTTCATTTTAGCCTCAGGATCCTTCCCAAAATGCGTTCAGGGATGAGATGGGGCTGACGTGTCACTTGTAGGTCTGTTTCTGTGTCTTTGGATGCCAGGAGCCTCTTCTCTATTCCATACAATGGGAACATAACTACACTGTTCTTACAGTAGGCTGGGCATGATACTTACCATATTATTGGCCCAGGCGATTAAATTTCCCTTCCATTTCACGTTTCTTATGTTTCCTTCCCCTTCATGCAAGACAGAAGATTTCCATCTGCTCATCCAAGACCGCTCAAACAATACCAACTATGGAAAAATGTCACAAAAATGAGGAATGTGAGGCATGAAGGCAAAGTCAAATGGTAGACTGCTCAGGTTGGCACGCTTATGGACAGAGAGCGTGGCAGAGCAGAGTCAGAAGACCTGGGTTCAAGTGCTGCCCTTTGGGCATACTAACAGCCTGAACATGGAAAAGTCAGAGCCCCTCAATGACGCCATCTCCTCATCTGTTAAAAACAAGAAGGGGCTCGAAGCCTAAATGATTCTAAGGTCCCTGTGATCCTCCTCACCTCCTCAGGGGCCCCAGACCAAGGTCATAAGAGGGTCACTATCAGCAGAATGAACTTTTAACATGGGGTGTTAGCTCCTTACAATGACAAAGTCACAGGTTTGAACCAAAAATACATTGTATGGCTACAAAAATAAAACAAAAATCCCATTAACCAAATGAGGAACTTTCTTCCACACCCCTGACCCATAAAGACACTAGGTGGTACAGTAGATAGAGTGCTAGATCTAGAGTCAGGAAGACCTGAGTTCGAATTTGGCCTCAGACTCTTACTAGGCATGTGACCTTGGGCAAGTCACTGAACCAGTTTACTTCAGTTTCCTCATATGTAAATGGGGGCTAATAATAGTGCCTGCATCTCAGGAGTGTTGTGAAGTTGAAATAACATCTGTAAAGCACTTCCCAAGCCTTAAAGTATTGTGGCAAAGCTAGCCATCACCATCATCATCATCATCACCATCATCATCATCACCATCATCATCCCATCACCACCACCACCATCACCACCATCATCACTGTCACTATCACCATCTTTTCACTTTATAACTTTAGTCTTTTTAAGGTTCTTCTTGAGGTTGGGATGGTGGGGAGACAATCAACATAAGAGACCAAGATGGAACCAGTAGAAATCTACTCCAAAAGGGACTTAGCTTTCCTCCCTCTCATGCCCTCTGCACTAAAGGGAGAATTCCTCCATGGCAAAACGATCCCCTGTCATTTCTCAAAGCTGGACTGACGAACATTTTCAATTGCTCTGAAGACACTACCACGTGCAGCCACAAGATGGCACCAAAATACAAAGATTCACTGAAAACATTTTTGAGTCTGATACCAAAGACTGGAAGGGGAGAAGTGTCACATGGAATGACTAGAACCTCATCATTTCCCCAGCGACAATCATCTCCCTGCCACAGACTGAATGGAAAAGCCCACCATGCTTCATTAAACCCACCCAACGGATGTGCAGGCCCAGCTCCTTTGGTTTACAGTGGAACGGGTTCTGGCCCCTGGGGAAGCCAGCCACAGCTTCCACAGAGAGTGGAGATTTTCAAGAAAAGGTCACAGTGGGCAGGTAGCGAGACAAGGCGGCTCTGGACAGTGGATCTCACAAGGGCCCAAACAAAGGAATGCGCAGGTCATTCCTGGGGCCTCCTCCCAGGCCAGAAGGGGCAGGAGAGGGAAGCGGGAATGAGCCTTCTGCTCCTCACTCTGCGTGTCCCATAGAAAGAGGTTCATACACAGAGTATGTGACTAGAGGTAGCATTAACTGTAGATTCTATGGGCTTAGCTGCTTCATCATTCAGAAGGCAATGTCACGAGGCCATTTTATAGGATCTCAATCTGCCCGTGGCAGAAGCCCTCACTTGCCACGTAGAGAGGTCGTGTCTTCCTTCTGGAGACCCTGGGGGAGCAGGAGTCCCACGGTCTTATCACAGGACCTCCCTCCCACTGCCACAGGGGCTGCCATGTGAGAGGGAACCCAAGATACTCCACAAGTTCAGGAAGGGGGGATGAGAGCCACACAAATAATTCAAAAATGAATGAGAATGCCTAAGTGTGTAAAATAAGAGCGAGGAGAAGGGGGGTGGGGGTGGGGTGAGGCAATTCAGGAGAAGGAGGTAGGATCAGAGCTGGGTCCTGATGGACACCAGAGATGAAAGAGGCAGAGGTGAGGAGGAAAAGCGACTGCCTGGGAAAAGACAGTTTAAAAACAGAGTACGGAGCTGGAGCACTGAGGAAGGGTGCAAGTGTAAGAAGACTGGAGAGGGAAGAAGGGAACAACCAGTGACAGGCTTTAAGTGCCAGAGGGTTTTATATTTGACGGGGAAGGTGTCAGGGAGGCACAGAAGTTTACTGAGGAAGGGGTGAGACCCGCACTTAAAGAAAATCACTTTAGTGGCTGAGTTGAGGATGGATTGGAAGTGGTGAGGCCTCAAGCAAGGAGCCCAACTAGACAGCAAGCGCAACGATGCCAAGGAGCAGGAATGGGACTTGCGGGGGGGCAGTCGTGTGAGCGGTGACAGATATAACAGCATCTTCAGGTGCATGAGAGTGAGCAGCCAAGGACGACTCTGAGGTTTCAGGCCTGCAGAGCCACAAGGACAGCTGCGCTCTGGGTGAGAAGACCAGAGATACAATTTGAGCCCCCTGAGCTCCGGAGAAGAGCCTCGGGCTAGGTCTGCCACCCTGGGAATGCTCTTCATCCAGGGGACAACTCACCCCACCAGAGCGGGTCAGGTCAGGAAGCAAGGAAGCCCAGAGGGGGAGGAGCAAAGGCCCAGGACCAAGCCCTGAAGAGCACTCCCAGTGGATGCAGCTGGCCTGGCTGAAGGTCCAGTAAAGGAATCTGAGAAAGGGAGAGGAGAACCAGGAGAGAACAGGGTGGTGGAATGGTGCCAGAAGCTGCAGAGGGGTCAAGAAAGATGGGGATTAAGGAAAGGTCATTAGATTGCCCAGTTCAGAGATCATTCACAACTTGGGAAAGAAGAGCTTCAGTTGAATGAGACTGGAAGCCAAAGTGTAGGGATTAAGAAGAGAGTGGGGGAGAGGATGGCGCCGATTGTGACAGCTTTCTCAAAGAGTCAAGTGGAAAACGAGCTTTTAACAGTCACTAGCTTCCTGTAGCCTGGGAATTCAGTATATTCAAACAGGGCCTGTTTCAATTAATCCATGAACATTTGTTAAAGACTTACTTATCTGTCAGGCCTGTGCTAGGCACCGGGGATATAAGGACATTACACAGGGGGTGGGGCATGAGTTCATATATACATGTATGTATGTATGTATGTATGTATAGGTATATACAGATATGTACAAGTATATATATATATATATGTGTGTGTATACACACACATAAATAGAAATTTATATGCAGATATATATATATATATATGTATATATATATGCAGCATAAGTAATTGCAAACACGTTTCATCTGTCTCTATCTGCAGCACAAAGATAAATGCCCATTGACTGACTGAGTGAGCATGACAGCCTACTGGAGGGTTAAGCATCGAGGGGATGGCTTGTGGATACAGCCCTGACCTAGGCACAAAACCACCTCTTTTTAAATGTCCAACTAGGCAGAATCTCCCAATTCTAACTAAGGAATTGGTAATTTCTTTTTCTTTCTTTGTCCTGCCTGCCATCTGGTGGCAATGCCAAAAAGAAATGGGGTTTGTGAGGTCTGACTCACATAACAGAAGGGGTAAGGATAAAGTAAAAACACAAGGTCACAGCAGTACCCGTGCTGACCGTGCTTGGGAAGTTCATAGGGCAGAGATGCAGCTCTGGATAAGCTCAAAAGCTTCAAGGAGAATTAAGAAATACACAGTGTCTCAGTGGTGTCGATCAGATCACTGATTTCACTGGAAATGAAGACACCTGGGGAACAGCTTCCTGAAACTGGAGTGTCCAGTAGCCCGATTTTCCTCTGTACTTCAGGCCCCTAACAAAGCTACCTAGAGACAGATTATCGAGCATGAAAATACAATTTCCCAGCAGAAACACCATGTTATTTTTCACTACCCTGGCCATGCCAGTGATCTAGGAATGGGCAGAGGCTGCAGAGACCTGGCCTGGGCATCAGGAAGACCTGGGTTCTTGTCCCACCTCTGACACCCAGTGTGACTCTCTAAGACCCTAAGTTACAGAGAAGGTTTGTTCACATGGACTTCCCTCCATCAGTAAAATCAAAGGCTCCATCCCTACTCGATGGGGTGGACATAGGTGTTCTGGCTGCTGTCTCTGCAGCCCTAGGCTACATATATTTTGGTCAATTCACCACTTATCTTTGCTTCCACCAGAGGGCAGCTAGGGAAGGAAAAGAGTTGTGAACTGATCAGTTCCAGATATTATCCTAATCTCCCAGCAGACCTATCACCAACCACAAAGCCCCAGGTAGCCTCTGGTCCAGGTTAGGGAAACAAAGAAGTCTTTTTCCTTCCAAGCTCTGGTATTTCTTTTGAGAAGTATACTGTAATTCACTTTATTCACAAGGCTTGTTCTTAAAAAGCTTCATGTCAATCAATTTTCTAAACTGAACAAAACTTCCCCCGACAATTTCCAAGATGCTCCTGGGTTCTGATCACTGTCGATCAGCGGCGGTTTAAAGGACTTTAGGTTGAAGCCCCGACTCCCCCAACCTTTCTCAAGCAGCTAATGGAAGGAACCTTTTTGTCATCTGAATATAATTGACCTCAGTCTCTGTTGTCAAAGTTCTTTTCTGGGCAGACTGGCACTTATGTCAGTCATTTCAAAACTGTATGGCAGAGAGCAAATGGAGCTAACTGACAAATATTGATTTCTGCTTACACATATTAAACCAGGGAGGTCTCCTGGCAGAAGAGAAAGAGCCCTGGCCTATGGGCCGGGAGTCCAGGGTTTGGTGCTGGGTCAGTCACTAGCTAAGTGGGCCTGAGGACAAGTCCCTCAACTTTGTGGAGCCCTGGCTGCTTTTCTCCCCGGTAAAAGGACTTTCCCACGTTTCTTTCAGCTCAAAAACCATGTTTCTCTGTGGCCCGGGAGCACAGCACATTAATAGGGAATTTTCCTAAGCCAGTGCTGGCATCCTAGGGAGCATGGAGCCTTGCACAGGCATAGGCTCCTAGGACACCGAGGGCACCCGGTTGTACCGGTGTGGGAAAGGGATGGCTAAGGCAGCATGGAACGAGTCTACCCAGGCCAGGGCAAAGGTGTGTGTGAGGAGGCACAGGAACACTCTGGGCCAGAGGAGCGG